TTTTATCTTAAGTGTTTTTAGGGCAGTTGCAATATTCAACTTGCTTTTACTCTGCATTATTATACTGGGTCTAACATGAGATGTCCTTGTGAACTGTCTTTTGCTGTTTGTTACACAGTGTACTACTAATTCAAAATCCAGACCCGGAGCAGTTTTCTGTCTTTTACAAACTCAGAGCAACAACTAAACTCTAAAATAAACATGACAGAGGCTGGAGAGTAGCAAGACCAACACCCGGTTTTAGCAAGACCTAAATCTTACGTCTCAGATAATAGACTAGAAAAACAGAGATGAACACTCGTAACGCCAAAGAGGAGAGAAATAGCGAGGGCGTCTTTATCGTCGCAACAGCTTTTCTTCAGTCAGACTGCTCTTAAATCTTAAATCCTCTATTTACTCAACACAAGCTGACCTTAACAATAAACAGGTCTGACGCAATAACAGACTTGTCTGCAACACAATGTACAGGAGAGTACTGACTCTGGATCTGTGACCTGATTCACTATTAAAGTGTTTTTGGTCTGACTTTGTCCTTTTAAAAAAAATCTGATCTGTTACAGTTCATGTAGAAAATTGGATTTGAGCTCTAAGAGACGATTTGTGTGTTGAGATTTTGAAAAGATATTTATTAAACAGCGAATTCTTAAATGGCTGCTATTAAATATATATATATATTTCACTGTATCAGAGGCTACAGACCTCACACAAGAGGCTTACTGAAAAATAGCCTTTATATTTACTTTAAAACCTAAATATATTCACTTTTCAAACTGAAAAAATGAGAAGAAAACACTTCAGCACCATCTGATATTCTGCCATCAACTAAATTCTGCATCTGACATTAAGCTTGAAAATGTTAAAATAAAGACGCTACGCTCCTGCAGACTCTCTTCAAACGCCACTCGATGTTTTGAGCGCGTTAACGTCTGCATTCAAAGCTTCTGTATGCTCAGCAGAAATGCAACACTCATCTTGGAATGGCAAGGGCGGACGTGTGAGAGATTATCATGCAGGAGAAACGCACAGATCAAACGTAAAATCCCATTCGCAGCCACCCACAGAAACATAGAAGTGGAAGGAGGAAGGAGAGGAAACAAAGGAAACATCTGAAACAGCTACGCTCTGTCAGCGGTTTGAAAAGAAGAAGCCTAATCGACTGAGTCTGGGTATATTTATATTTACATATATGGATGAAAGACACAGAAACAAGGCTCTGGACTGAAAGAAACACTTAAAAATACGTAAAAAATATAATTCCTTAAAAATGTCTAAAAAGGACTAGAGCTATATTTTTGTTGACTTGCGTGTTTACATTTTCTAAAACGTTTCCAACAATGTTCTGAGAAATGGACATATTTAGTCAAGTTACTGGGACGTTTCCGTATCTCTGCTTCAACTTCAAACAACATACGATGAAGAAAAAAACACACTGGACATCAGGAACTGTTAAAAATATATTTAAAGTGATGAGCAATTAATTTCCTATAGCTTTTATTTTATATATGATCTATATTGGATGTACAGCACCTTGAGCATTTTTTTATGAAAGGTTCTGTCAAAATATTATTGTTACTGGTACAGTCACCGAGGGTCATATGTCAGATCCAATCAAAAGTTAAAATATTTATTCCCGGATACAGTGACGTCCGAGACTTGAACCAGTGACCCTTCAGTCTGTAAACCAACTCCCTGCTCCGGCTTAGTTAGATCATTCACATAAATCAAAACACAAGCATATTCTTTTTCTTCCAGACCATTAAATCTCAGAGGAGAGATAAAAAAAAAAGCGTCTTATTTTCAGGAGCACATTGTGTGAAGAGTCCAATTACACTAATCTGTCCCAGTGGAGCAAGAAGAGAATCAGTGATTACACTTTGACATGACAGCGACTCTCCTCTTGTGATTCTATGTTGTTATACAAACCATAATAATACGACAGCGATGGCACAAAGGTAAATTTGGCACAAGGAAAAAGTGAGTAAACATCCAGGAGGACAACATGTACTTTGGTCTCGATAAAACACAACAGTGACTACCGTACCTTTTCCTCGTGTGATTCTTTAAATATATTCATGAGAGACATACTGGACCTTTACATCTGACCATCGGAGCGATAATGGAGGAAGTGAATACAATAAGTTCAATTTAGTTTTATGAAATACGTCTGTCGTCAATAACAATTTGGGAGGAACTCTAAGAGCCTTTTGTAAAAAAAAGTAATTTAACCTTTATTGTTATATTGCCTTCAAGACAGCGACACCCACTGGTCGGAGGCATAATGTTTTCAGGTTGTCTTTATTGCCGTCCCATTCTTGTGAGCACGATATTTCAAGAACACCTTGATGGAATTTCTTCAAATTTGGGACAAATGTTCACTTGGATGCAAAGATGAATTGTGTAGATTGGGGTTGTCGAAGGTTAAAGGTCAAGGTCACAGTGGCCTCACAAACATGATGAACATATCTCAAGTCTGCCTTTAGGAAATTTCTACAAATTATGACCAGTCGTTAATTGGACTTAAAGAAAAACTGATTAGATCTCAGTGGTCAAAGGTCTGGTAAATAAAGGTATACTAAAATGGTGAACAAAAATGTTAATATATTGCTTTTTATTTTAAAGGAAAGCTATCTTAAGTCAGCAAATAAGTGAAGATAGATGATTTATACTGTGATCATTTCCCACCCTGATTAAACCTTTGGAAATCAAACACAAACCACACAACAAACGAGCTCAATAACAAAGAGTTTAATCCCAAAAATACTTTTTTTCCCATTTTGGCTTGTCATACATTGTTTGGTCTTGCTGTATCTCGGCTGAAACACTAAACTGTATAATTTACAGTCTGAAATTGTGGCTGTCATGCAATATCTGATCACAGCTCGACAGATCATCGGAGATGGATGACACGCCCACGTCGCATTTATGCCGGAAACGTGATATATTGACTGCAAAAAAACCCATAACATTCATGACTGCCCCTGGTGGCAGTTATGAGTTGGACGTCAGAATTTCAGCGATACACAAATCATCTGTTTGAAAATCGAGCAACATGCTGCAGTGTATGGTTTAGAGTTAATAGTTGTATTATTTATGGACATAAAGGTGCAGAGATAACATTTGTCCTGTTTTCTGTTTTGTTTTGAGTCCATTTGAGACATTCAACAATCCTTAAGACACAACCTGCTCATGTCGATTTCATACCAACTATTCTGCAAGCTGTCAGTTCTGTCTTAGATACCTACTGAAAATAGGCAGAGCTTGATGCTAACACTGCTGTGGTCTGGGGATACACTTAAAATCCTCACACACATACACTATAGTTTCGTTTTTTTATCATTTAACTGGAGGAAAAGTTTATGATAACGTTTCATCCAATAAGAGAAAAAGAATTGTTTATAAGCAGCTGAACAGGTTCCAGCCTGTTGGTTTGTTTCACTACGTCGTCATTACAGGGAGACACTTTCCCCCTCGTCTCCGTCCTGTCACTGCCAGCAGGTCGACACAGTGTGGGACGCACTCACAACACTTTCCCAACAACTCTGACAAACAGCTGATTCACAAAATGAAAAATGTCTTTTTTTCTAACACTGGGAATTCTGACCTTTTCAACCAGTTAATCAGAATTTATTCGCAGCTTCATCTGAAATATTTTCCACAGTAGATTAAGGGTTACTCTTCAAACTGGAAAGAAGGGTTGTAACTGACAAATTTTCTTCCTTGATGTCGAGAACAGTATATTGTTATGTAGTCAGAGGAATACGTGTATGTGTGTGTGTCAGACACTTTTGCAAAATGTCAAATGTTGATTTGGAGGCTTAAATCAAACACTAAATTATTAAGATTAAAAAAGTGCATATAGAAGAAATAGGGTTGAAATTATTACTTGATTATTTTCCAACTGTTTCATTGTTGAAGTAGTTTGTTAAGTGTCCCACATAATATCTGAAGAGCTGCTCTTGTGCTCTGAACTCTTGAAAAGCACCAGGAGCAACTGTGGACAGAAGTCCAGGATTCTCTTGTTCTGTCAGTAACAAAAAGTTTGATATGTCTTTATCTGTGTTCTGGCCATAAAAAGGGTTTATGTGCAAGAACTTGGCATCAAATTGGTGCCGTTGGAGATTATTTGTAGGACTTTCTGCAGCGAATATACCCCACTGGCTTATTTTTAATGGAAGAACCGCAGCATTACCACTGAGCTGAACAGTCTGGTTGTAAATCAGGAGCAGAACCATGAGAAGAAGAAGCAGAGGAAGCAGTGATAAAATGGTCAATATAGTCTGACATCTGCTGCGTTGTGTAAAGACGGAATCAGCTGTTCACAGAGCTGAGGACCTCAAGGGGAGGGGCAATCAAAGAGGGCTTCTCTGGAATAAGACACACACTCGGAAAATGAGTCAGAATGAAAAGTAACGGGTCATGGGGTACGATTAAAACGCTGCCATTGTGCTAATTATTTCGAAAACAGCTTGCTTCTGCAAAGAGAACACGGCAAGAGTCTTATTCTTTCATTTCTGGGTTTATATTTTCACCTCAAAGGGGCGGGGGGGGGGGGGGGGGGGGGGGGGGGGGGATAAACACTGGAGGGAAGAGATGGAGCAGTTTGTGTGTCGTCCCAGGGGAGTCGTCTTTGGCGTGACACCACCCCACGGCTCTGAACACCAGCCTGTGCATCAGTGCGTCCCTAATCGCATTTACAACAGTCGCACATCTGTGCACGGCTCACACCAGCAGCAACAGGGAGCCCAGCCAGTAGTTCCACACTCTTTATAACACATCTCTGCTCTAATGTAGGCACCCCTAGAATGAAGCAATCATATTAATACCCCTACATCAGGGACTTACCACAGCTTATAGAGACACTGTCTCCCTCTAAGGAAGTTTCAAACAGTCATCAATCAAGGCACACATCAATATCTTCCCATGGACTTGTTCGGATTATTTTGAGATTCATAAAATCTACTTGTTTACTGCAAATCAAATAAAAAGAAATCAGTCTGGTCTAAGCTGTGCCCCTCTGAGCATGTGGATGAGTTCATACTGCTCATGTGGCATCACTATATATTTATGTTTTCCATCATACATGGAGACTTGAACTGTTTCTGCAAGTCATAATAATGATATTTATGCTTCAAGGTGTTTTTTTTATCTGCTACGTATTCTATCACTTTAAAAATATGACTAGAATCCATCCTATAATATTTCAATAGTAAGGATTAATTAGATCCCCCCTCTATCAATCATCCAACGTGCCATCACTGCCTCTTCTTCTTCTGCTTCAGTGACTTCCTCCTCTTCACTATCATCTCATACAGTTTGTCCATGCCCTCATCCAGACCCTCTCCTATGATGGCGCAGGCCGGCTGGACGTGGTACGGGGTGGAGGGGCTCAGCTCGGCCAGGGCCAGCTGCCTCTCGATCTCCCCGACATCCAGCGCCCGGGGCAGGTCCTGCTTGTTGGCGATGACCAGCAGCGGGGTCCCCTGGTTCTCCGAGAACCGGGTGATCTTGTGCAGCTCAGTCCGGGCCTCCTCCAGCCTCTCGGCGTCTACGGAGTCCACCACGTACACGATGCCGTCCGTGCAGCGGCTGTAGGGCTTCCACAGGGGCCGCAGCTTCTCCTGGCCCCCGACGTCCCAGAAGTGGCAGCTGATGCCCCTGGAGGCCCCCGCGCCCCCCAGCCGGATCCTCTCCGTGTTGAAGCCGATGGTGGGCACCGTGTTGACGAACTCGTTGAATTTCAGCCGGTACAGCACAGTGGTTTTACCTGCGGAGTCCAGCCCGAGCATGACTATGTGCAGGGACTGGAAGGCAGCCAAATTGGAGAAACTGTTCCCCATCTTGCAGGCTGGGAGAGAGGAAGAACATGCACCCCCACAGCCCCAGCAGCGAGCGATACCACCGCAGGAGACGCTCAGATGTCCCCTGAGTGATGCATGGCGGGTGATTCCCCTGATGATGAGTCAAATCATGTTCGCAGCAAAACGATCCGCGCGCCTCCGCCGTTCAGCAGCTGTGGAGGGCGCAGCCCCACGTTGCGCGGCGGCACTCCGGCAGCCAGACAAGCCGCAGCATCCCTGGACTCACCCCAACAGCATCAGGCGTCCAACAAAACAGCCAGATCACCGAGACACAACGGCGCGTTTACAGTGCGCACCGCTCTCCAAATGCGTAAATTACGCGCGGCTGAATGTCACATCATGTCTCTGGATGTGTCCAAGTGCGTAGCAGCTCATGCAGTAAAATACACACACACTCAAGTGACAGTGTGTGACCAGCGTGCGACGCGTGGACCAGCCTCTAAACGTTGTCATGTAAAGATGCATCAAGTTACGCATGAACGTGCCAAATGTGGGTTCCGGCAAAAAAACACGTGCCTCACAAATAAAAGCATCGTCCGTTTCAGGTCAGACACAAACCGATGGCATGGAGGAGGATCTTATTTTGAAAAGTATCCATCCATGATGTCTGCAGTGTTTCCTCTGCGCACTGAGCATCCTGAGCTGGGGAAAGCCTGACACCTACTGGTCAAACATGACAACAACGTGTCCCACTAAGGAAACTACAACCTGAGATAAAACACACTTTATGTCACATTCTCGAAATAATATTCAAAATATAAGAAAGTATTTTTCTCAGCTTTACATTGCGACAAAATTTATTTACATATATTGTT